TCCACCCCGTCCACTAACCCAGACACCTGTCCTCTCCACAAACCCCACCGGAGACTCATCAGTTGCATGGCCGGCGGCCATGCAACCACCGCCCAACCCAGCTCCGGCCACCGTAACAGATCATCCAACTATCTCCGGCCGCCGTGAATCTCGCCTGAAACTAAAAATCCCCAGAACTTCATCTTCCTCCTTTAGTCTTCACCATCTCAAACCCTAAAACACCTAAAACTCCCAGTTTCCGATCATCCCCTCCGGTTAACAACCACCACCGTCTCGCCGGAAACATCATCAAGTTCAACATTTTTTCCAAAAAGTTTGTTATGATCTTCACCGTTTCCAGAAACATGCAACAATCTTCATGATCTTCACCAATCATCATCACGAGTTCATCATTTACAGGATTAACCTTCAACCGTTCATCAAGAATCCTCACCAGATCAACTCCAATCATCATCCACATTCTTCATCATCAGCAAGAACAAAATTCCAGATAATCATCAGAGATCAATCTTTATCAGCGAACTGGGTTCATCCACGATTTGCCTTCATCTCGTTCATCGGAGGGCCTTCAACGAACTCTCTAGTTCTTCCGATCAGCATCATCGTTCTCCAGGAAGTGTAAACCATCATCGCATGTTCATCTTACTTTCTTCCATGAATCAATCTTCATCAACGGTTGAATAAACCTTCAAGAAACTCTCCAGAAGCTCAACGATTCATCAGGACCCCCAAGAACCATCAAGAACTCATGTGGTCTTCAATTTGTTTTTCCAGAAACTTCTACGAAGCTTCATCAGTGATTGTCCAGATGCCGTTGAATTTTCATCCTCAAACCGCAACTCCATAGATCCTCCACCTTCAAGATCCAGATTCTCCAGAAAAGAAGATTCAAGAACGAACATCCTTACGAACGCAAAGAACTTCAACAGACGACTTCATCTCCAGAAAATCTCACGAACGCTCCACCTGTAATCTTCTTCCGCGAGCAAGATCCATCAACAAAGGTTTGTGACGTGATTTGAACGGTTATGGTGTTATGTGTTTGAGGGTGAAAGATGGTAAGGAGAGGAGCCAGGTTCAGAGATGAGGATTGAGAGGGGCTGAGGTGATGGAGATCGAGAGAGAATCTGAGGGAGGGGAAACGGCGGAAGATGAACAGTGCAGAGAGGAAGAGATTAGGGTTACACGTTTGGGAGATTGGACGAAGAGAGAGAGGAGGCTGGGCGTTGGATGTTGGGCCTCAGGCCCAACGAGTTGTTGGCCTACACCCCCACTTTCCTCTTTCCCCTGTTTTGCCTATTGTTTTTGTTTGCTGATGGGCTCAAGCCCAACGAGCTAGCACCCAGCGTTTCTGCTGGCATCACCCCCCTCTGTTTGGTCTTTTTTGGCAGCATTAGCTTATGGGTTGGGCCCAGTTTATTTTTTTTGTTTTACTTGTAACACCCCATGTAACTGCTGTACCCTCCCCCTTTGTTTGTTTTTTTATTTTGTTTAGTTCTTTGAATAAGAAATAATAAAGAAAAGAATTGTTGAAAAAGAAAAGTGAAAAAAGATTATATTTGAGAAAAAGAATAAAAAATAAGATATTGAATAAAAGAGAAAAGAAAAAATAGTGAGAAAAATATATGAAAAAAAAGGAGAAAAATATATGAAAAAAAGGGAAATACTTGGAAAAAATAGTGAAAAAATACTTCATTGTAGATTTAATATTTTTTTTAGGATACATTTTTCATAGATATTCTTTTTCACCTTTTAGGGATAATTTTTAGAAGTCCACTTGTTAGGGGACTATTTTCCATTCGATTTTTCAGGATAGGATAGGATAGTATTTCCTAGGAGATTTATTTTCAGTATTCAATCATTGTAATCATTTTTCAGAATGTTAATAAAACGAGATTTGAGCTGTGGTCCCGAAGTAGCCGAACTACAGCTGCTCTGATTTCTCGTACCAGACGAGAATATGTAGGCATATGATGCGATATCCTAGCGAGCACACTAACAACTAACCTTTTGTTCTCTCGCGGCTGTGCGATCGAGACTTTCCCGCTGACGACTAATTGTAACCCTTTTTCTCTCTTGCCCTAGTGCATTTGAGACCAAGCCATAGTTTTGCCCATAGGTCCCCGAACCTTTGAAACCAGTTGATTTTCTCACTGCTGTGTGAGAATACCCCTGTTTAGCCGTAGTTAGCCTGAACTACGTAAAGCTCTGATCTTCCATGCAGTGTGGAAGTACGTAGGCACAAGACGCGAGGTCTTGGCGAGCCAATTTCCCCGTAGTCCCGAACTACATTGACTCTGACTTTCTCTCTTGAGAATACGTAGGCATAAAGTGCGACGCTCTATCGAGTCAATTCCCTTCCGTTTAGATTTAGCAGTCGTAGATAGATTGTTTTTGCATCCTTTAGACAACCCAAGCAAGCGTGGATCCCGTCGAGTACGACGGACGTGAGGGGTGCTAATACCTTCCCCTTGCGTAACCGACTCCCGAACCCAGGTTTTGGTTGCGATGACCATACCTTTCCCCGTTTTTTGCGAGGTTTACTTCGAGCGTTTCCTTTCCCTCCGTTGGGATAAATAACGCACGGTGGCGACTCTTCTGTCAGCCGGCGCCGATTTTCGCAGTAGCGACAATGGTCAAATGTTGGGAGGCTATGAATGACAACTTAAAGTTACATTTGGGCAACATTAGAGCTTATTTTCAAAATAGGTTTTATGAAGTTTAGCACGCCCACGTAAGTCCATTTTACAATAATTTACGTGGTTCAGTGTCTCGAGATGCATTGAGACACATTGCTGAAGAGTTAAAACAAGTTGATTATGTTGGAACTAACAAGGAAATATGTCGTTGTACTCTTAGAACAACCTACAAATTACCTTGTGCTTGTGAGTTGACAGAATATAGAATTGATGGTATACCGACACCAATAGATGTTGTGCATGTTCATTGGAGAAAACTAAGTATGGAAGTTAAGTTGGACGAAGTCGTAGATGATGGATCAGAGGTGGATATGAGTAGTGCAATAGATAAGTTATGCAAAAGGCTTAAGTCACTGGATGTTGTTGGGAAAAGGGAATTAAAAAGTAGGGTTTTTGAACTTGTCTTCCCCACAATGACTTCTATGTGTCCACCACCTGAGAAAATAAAAACTAAAGGGGGAGTCAAGAAGAAAGACAAAAAACCAGTAGGGTATGATGTTTATAGAGACCCTTCGTATCATGAGTATGTTGATCAAGCATCTCAATCTTCACAAAGGAAATCTCAACCATCACAAACTTCAAAGAAGTTGAAATTATCACAGTCTTCACAAAAGAAATCTCAACCATCACAGGCTTCGAAGAAGTTGAAATTATCAAAATCTTCACAGTCATCTAAGCAGTTCATCCTTGAGTTTCCTAATCACATCAGATCATATATTGATGGTGTAGTTAATGTTGTATTAGATGGTAATTGTGGATTTAGAGTCATTGCTTCATTGCATGAATATGGTGAAGATGGTTGGCCAATGGTTCGTCGAGACTTAGGGTTGGAAATAATACATAATGAAAGATCAAGTTTGTATGCCAATTTATTTACTGATGAGTTAGCATTAGTCATAGAATCTTCGATGATAGAGGAATTTGGTCCTCAACCAACACATAAATGGTTAACTCTACCAGATATGGGTTACGTGATAGCGAATCGTTATAATGTTGTACTTGTCTGTTTAGGAATTGAATGTTGGACTTTCTTCCCTATGACAACTTCATTTTCACCAAATGTAGCAATTTACTGCATTGGTTTTGTAAACAGAAATCATTGGGTTCAGGTACTTAGTTGTTTTTAGATAATGCGATTAAACCTAATTCTTTTTCGTTATTTTTACTTAATATTTTGATTATTTATTTATTTAGGTAAACATGAAAGAAGGGTTTCCATTGCCACCAATGACAGTAGATTGGAAGAAGTTTCATTCTCCAGCAGCAACATCTTGGATGCTAGGATTTTCAAGACGTCTACATTGGCAACAACTTACGCCTATATTACGAACACATTATGAATTATAAATTATGTTACTCATTTTTAATTTCAAAACATGAATCATGAATTATGTTATTCATTTTTAATTTCAAAACATGAATTATGAATTATGTTATTCATTTTTAATTTCAAAACATGAATCGTGAATTATGTTATTCATTTTTAATTTCAAACATGAATCGTGAATTATGTTATTCATTTTTTATTTCAGGCTACAAGTTAACACATAAACATAAACCAACTAGGTCAAATGAGTCTAAAAGTTAACACATTAACATAAACCAACTAGGCCAATGAGTCTAAAAGTTAACACATGAACATAAACCAATTAGGTCAAATGAGTCTAAAAGTTAACATATAACCATAAATATAAATACAAGTCACTGTGATCGAGAAATATGTAAAGCATCGAACAAATCAAAAATTGTGGGTCATCCTCTTCAGCACCAGTCTGTTGAAAATAACGATGAATCAATGAAGACATACGAGCCAAGATAGGGTTAGATGCTCCTGCTTCATATACAGGAACTGGCATCTCTGTTGTCGCATCACGATTGGGCGGTACTAGAAGAGGATGCAAAACACGATAATACCACTGAAGATATCCATCATCTGTCTCATATGGGGTGGTGGCCGGTGTTGTCGGACGAATCACATCCTGAACGCTCTAATGGTAACTAATCCAGTCAACATCAATATCACCAGCCATTCGAGAATCAAGAGGTGGATGTGGAACATACTGCCTGTATCCAAACTGACGCATACATCTATCAGGCAAGTATGGAACAATAGTGTCACCCCACCTCAGACACCCCCTATATAGACATAACTCATCAAATTGACGCCATACTTTATGATTCTCGAATGCACGCCATATGACATCGGCAGGTGTCAGCTCGTCCAAAATAGGTCGCAAGTCATCCACCTTCAAGGCACCTTGCCTATAGGACCATCTCATCACTCGAGGGAGACCCACATTATTAGCTGGTATCCAGTTCTCTCTTTTTTTTTTCCAAGTGTTGGAAAATACTCATAAATCCAGCACTGTTACAAAATTAATATTGTTACTAAATTTAAAATAATGAATTATAACATAATAAACTAGATAAATAAAATTAATATACTAGATAAAATTAATTAAAACAAAATATACTAAATTAAAATAAATACCTGTAGGAGAGTCGGATAACCACCAAGCTGCTTACAACTGAACATGGAAGCATCTCCAAGATATCTATAAAGAGTAACCAACACAGTTGTACGCAACTGTATCCTGATAAGTCATCCAAGTCTATAAATAGTGAGAGGTATCGTGCCTCGACAAGGGTAAATATCTTATCCGCAAAAATAGTGAAACCCACTAACATCAACAAATAAGCTCTAGTGGCATAATCTCATCTAGATGCAGCTCTATGCTGAAGGTGAGAAAATACTTAGAAGGGGGGTTGAATAAGTATGAAGATAAAACTTAGAAATAAAAAACTCAAGTATTTTTATCCTGGTTCGTTGAAGTCAACTGCTCCAGTCCACCCTTCCTAGAGTGATTTGCCTTTCTCAAACAAGGACTTAATCCACTATTTAATCAACTGATTACAATAGTAAGAACTAAGAACAACTGCTCAAAGTCTTCTCAAGAATTACTGATCCTAACTGGATCTTCTTAAGGTTTTCTTACAATTAAATGTAATAACAAATACAAGTGTTTAAAATGCTTCTAACAAAGCATTATCACAACTGTGATTTTTCACTTAATATTAAGAACAAAGAAATTAATTCTAGAAAGAATGTGAGTTGTATGAGAGCTTTGAATAATGAATTCTTTTCAGGTCAAACGTCAACTGAAGAAGATGGTTGGAGACTTCCTTTTATAGGCACATTGACCCAAGAGTATTTCATGTTGAGAAGAGTGTACCAAAAGGTCTGAGCCTTTTTTTGTCTTCACATCAAGTGACCTTTCCTAGAAGAAGAAAGCACAGAGAAATCCTTTTTGTCTGTGTTCTTGTGTCTAGCATAAATAAGGAAAGAGTCGTTTGGATATTCCAACGGACATAATCTTTTGAATTCTTCTTCATCAATTTTCGGCAAGAATCATCAGAGTCTAAATTGATCAGAGCCTTCTGATGTTGATCAGAGTTTTGATGAATCAGAGTCTTTGCAGTAGGTGTGCTTTTAGTGTGTATAAATTCAGAGCAGAGTTTGGTCAGATCCTCAGTACTGGCAGCGTGAGTACTCTTAGAGTCTTCTGAAGTAACTATGCTTGAAAAACTCTTCATACAAAATTCTTCATTGGTTCAGATGCTTCTGACTTGCTTCGGGTTCTTCTGAAGCTTCTGCTTCAGAACTTCTGGAGCTTCTGCTTCAGATCCTTCTGGAGGCAATGCTTAGAATCTTCTGATGGCAGCGTTCAGAATCTTCTAATGGGTGCATCTGATGCTACAGAGCCTTGCATATTTCTTATATTCATATCTGATTTGCTTCTGTAGTGATATTTACTTTAATATCTGCAGCAAATATTCTTAAGCAAATTTTAGAGTATATAATTCTTAATTACAAAATTTCATAATAGTTATCATCAAAACATAGAGATATTATTAAGAACCAATCTGTGTTCTAACAATCTCCCCCTTTTTTATGATGACAAAAACATCAGAAATTTTGTTTAATTGAAAATAGAATAATTATAACTCCCCCTGAGATGATGAATCTCCCCCTGAATTAAATATAAATAAGGAATAGAAACTTCCCTTTTTGTCTTAAGTGTTTTTCAGAGTTAGAGCTTGATTGTTCTTAACCATTTGAGAGTCAGAGTGTCTTGCATATTTCAGAGTCAGAGTCTGATAATTGTCAAATGATCTGAGAGTCTCAAAGTTTCTTTTACAGAGTGTACTTATCAAATATTCTGAAATACTTAGATTTTATGTTAGATAAAATTGATATGTCTGAAGTTTCATTCTGGTGAAGTTTAATTAAACAGTTCAGATCTATTTTCTCCCCCTTTTTTTGTCATAAGCAAAAAGTAAAAAACTTTGAAAAGACAAAGAAAAGGAAACAATAAACGAGAAAAGTCATGTGGAGAAAACTTAGAAACTTTCATTCATTCATTCAGAGCAAAAGTACACACATCAGAAAATATTCAACTACATATGCAAACATTAGATGCAAACATCAGAAGAAAAAAAAACTAAGATTGTTTTGATAAAAGCATCTTCAACAGATCCGTGATCTCAGAAGAAGACTGTTCTTGTTTTGACATCCACTTAGCCATGGTTTCATTCTTCTGATCCTGTTTGGACATCCACTGAGCCATGTCTTCAGACTTCTTGTCTTGCTTAGCCATCCATGACTTGATTTCTGATTGACCAGCTTCCAGAACTGCAACCTTATCTTCAAGATCTGGATACTCTTTCTTGATCTCAGATGAAGAAGGTGGAACAGTTTCTGAAGCTTGAACAGAGTCAATTTCCATAGGGGCTTTGGAGTTAGGAGCAGTAGAGCCAGAAGGATGTTCTATCAGAGTCATAGCCAGAGGGTTGTCTTCAGATGCAGATTCAGTATTCTCTTCTGATGATGAAGGAGCATCTGTAAGAAGCAATGGTCCAGATCTCTTAACAGTCCAGAACAGACTTCTAGCTGTTTCAGCAAATCTGAGCTTCGCATCATCAGAACATACGTTCTTCAGGTTTGATGCTACAGTGTTGAATCTGTTTATGAAGCCATTCCAAATGGAATCAGATTCCTTTGCATCCATTGTTGATGAACATTTCCTCTGTACAGAACCTAAATACATCTGTATTTCTTGCAAAAAATTTGTAAATAAATGATCAACATTCAGTCTAGGTCTTGGGTGTAACAGAGTTTCCAAGGTTATTGGCTTGGGTTGGGGAGTAGGTGGAAAGATGGATTTATGAATGGTGATCAAAAGAGGAGGGTAGTAGGGTATGAATGAAAGTTCAGATGATTTGTCAGGTTTTGATTTGGTTAAAGCATTCAACAGATTTGGTTTTGCTTTTGTTGGATAGGAAACCACATCAAATGGTTTATCAGAGTAAGGTTTGAAAGCAGATTTAGCAGGTTTATCAGATTTAGCAGATATAGCAGAGGATGGTTTTGGAGCTGATGAAGGTACTGCTGACATGGTTTTAATATATGTTTTAAGCACAGATGGTAGAATGATGGTAAGTTTGGGTTTGAGAGGAGTGATAGTGTCAGATGGTTCAATTCTGGTGTAGAAATTTTTTAAGATGAAACTAGATGGAAGTTTGTTAGAGGAAGATAGTTTGCATGAAGCAGAAGGTACATTCTCAGATGTTCTTGGCTTGGATGTAGGGGTAGGATTGGGAATGATAATTTCAGAAGATGGTTTAGGTGTTGGGATAGGATTTGGAATAATAACTTCAGAAGAAACAGGTGGTTCTGGTTGGTTTACTTCAGAATTTGTGTGAGAGGGAGATACCAGAAAGTCTGGGTGTATATCAAATTCTAATGAATTTGATGATATGGTTGGAGTGTAAGAGGTAGAGGACACTTCAAAAACAGTTTTGAGAGGTGTAACATTTAGAACCTCTGTCTCAGGGATATGTGTTTCAGATGGGTTGGTTGATTCTGATGGATTCTCAGAAGGTTTTGATGAGGGTTCAGATGTAGGTGGTTCTGATGTAGGTGGATCAGATGTAGGTGGATCAGATGTAGGTGGTTCAGATTCAATAGGATCATATGTATTTGATGGTGGTTTTTCTGGTTGTGGTTGTTGTTCAGATTGTTTTTGTTGTTGTTGTTGTTCAGATTGTTTTTCTGGTTGTTGTTGTTTTTCTGGTTGTGGAGTTTGATTGGCTGGTTTTGTTGTTGTTGGTATTGGTACAGATGATTGAGTAGTAGAAGTTTTTACAGGAGTGATGGAAATATGATTAGATGATTTTTGTGGGGAAGGAACAAAGATATGAGGTGGAGCAGGAACAAATTGTTTCTGAGTAGAAGGTGGTTTTGGAATAAACTTAAATGTTGAATCATTTACAACAGTATTATTTACAGAAGATACAGAAGATTTGGTACCTTTAATCTTGATACGTTTTGCAGGAACAAAAGGAGCGTCTCCAGATGCTTTCCTCTTGATCAGCTTCTGAAGCTTGTCAGCAACTTTGGGCTTCTTCTGAACAGGCACATCTTCTACTTCTAATTGACTTCTTTTCCTTGTGTTCTCATTTCCTCCATCAGGCAATGGTTCCCTTGCTCTTATTAGAATATCTGCAGGAATGGGCGTTCCATCTGCCTTGCAAGCATCAATATATCTCACTATTATTTCCCTTGGTTCTTCAGCAAAGAACAGTGGGTAGTCTTCTACTGGAATTCGCTTCTGACTGAGTTCAGAAATATTCAGCTTCTTGGGTGCAGATGTGAGTTCCTCTACAATTTTTAGTCTCTGAAGACTCTTTGCATTCAGAGGTTTTCCAAGAATGAATTCAAGTTCATCTGTGACTCCAGCAGCATATAGAGCAGTCACCAATCCATTTTCTGTCAGAATATCTGAAATTAACCTTCCAAAGGGAATCCATGTTCTGATCTTCTGACCTTTTTCTTTTACAGATTCTCTTGAAGCATTAATATGGTTCCATAAATGCATGAACAGAATGTAAGGAAGATCTACCTTGGTGCTCTGACTTAAATAGTACATGAAGTAGAGTTGTTCATTGTTTACGTAATCTGGAGAGTTTGTAGATTTTCTGTGATGAATGCATCCCATGAAAATCTTTGCCCAGATCTTGTAGTCAGGCTTCATATCTTTAAACTTATTAGAGGCCTGTCCAGCAGTCATAACTTCCTCATAAACTTCTTCCATATCTACACGCCCAGCTGGCAGATGAGATACTCCATCAGTCTCCTCATATCCAATGAGTTTCCTGATCAGATCTTCTGTAATGATTATCTCCTTACCCAGAACAGAAGACAATATGAATTTGAGGTATACAGAAGCATGTATCCATAACTCTTTCACTAGATGAGGGTAAACTGGTCCAAATAGTCTGTCAAAGTACTTTACCCAGCCTTGAGCATCAATGATTGAACGGAACTCAAATCGATTTTCAGCCAATGAATCAAATTCCACCATTGATTCACAGAGAACTTCCAGTTTGTCAACAGGTGTTAACAAAGTTCTTTTTGGTGTCGTATATGGAGTCACACCCATATTTGCAGAAGTACCTGTAGCCATGGTTGATTGAAACTGTGCAGCAGTGGAGGATGAAGTTGCCATTGAAGATGATTTTGTCAAAGGTTTAGGGTTTTTGTGAAGAGAGAAAAGAAGACAAAAATGCATAAACGTTCTTGAGATGTGAAAAGTGTGAAAGTGGTGAGAGATGTGGTATTTATAGTA